TCCTTTACCCCCGGTGCTGAGTGGGGCAAGGCCGGGGCCGTGGTGCTGCGGGCGGGCGGAGCATGTCGATGTGCTTCGCTTGTAACAGTTCCTGGTCAAAACACACCAGCTCCTGACCCGGTACCGGTGGCACCGCGTGTTCCCAGCCCCTGCGTCGGCCGCACTCGAGCTGACCCTCGTAGCCCAGCCGGTGACCCACGGCCCCGCAGGGTCCATAGGAGGCAGGCTGCTTACTGTGTCTTTGCTTCAGGTTATGCCTTGATGCCTTTTTTAGGGCACAGCTGCCCTATTAAGTAACTACATCCGTTTGCTAAAGTTGTGTGTACAGGAAATCTCCATACAAGAAGTTCCCGATTGCAGACCTTAGGTTTTTCTGGTGTCGGTGATGCACAGTGCTAAAGGTAGGGCAGGACCAGGGCATGTCTCTGCATGGGACACTAGCAGCAATTTTGTTTTGGTGCAGATTGCCAATGGAATTACTTCCTGTTAAGAGCAACTGCTGCAGGAGCTTGTAAACACTTCTTGGTAGCTCTGCAAATACATGAATGTAGTTACTGGAATGTTGAGTGTCCATTGTTTGAGGGTGCTTGTTACCTGTGTGTCTGTTCCTATGTGACATGTCTCTTGTTCACTGGCTGGGCACGGGCACAGGAATAGACAGAGACCTCCCAGCAGGGCAGAAGGACCAAGTGTGACAGATGTGAGGAGCATCTGTGCACCTGCAGCAACGTTAAGGCCTGGGAAGTGAGCAGAAGAACAAACAAGGAAATGGGAGAGATTTTTTTTTTTTGCCAAAGCATACAGAAAACGTTGGATAATAATTTACAAAACACAAGTGCAAGAGACAAGCAGGTAGATGTTGTGCTCTTATTTTTCTGCTTGGACTTAGGAACTTTGAGTAAAGTCCTTTCACTGATGAGCTTATTAACTTTAAATTAAATGGAGCTGCAATTTCAAAATGGTTCTAGAACATGAACTGAGAGTGACCAGTTTGTGCTGTTCTCATTCAAAAAGCAATCCCACGAGGATGATTTTTTTAATTAATCATGGAATCCCAGACTGGTTTGGGTTGGAAGGGACCTTAAAGCTCATCCAGTTCCAAGCCCCTGCCACAGGCAGGGACACCTTCCACTAGAGCAGGTTGCTCCAAGCCCCTGTGTCCATCCTGGCCTTGAACACTGCCAGGGATGGGGCAGCCACAGCTTCTCTGGGCACCCTGTGCCAGCGCCTCACAACCTTAAGAATACAAGAAAAACTGAATTAAGTTACATCTGAAACATAAACCTAAGATGGATCATTTGGATTTGTTGGGTTTGGGTTGGTTTTTTTTCTCTATCTGCAGTGATTCTAAGACATATTCTTGAATGTCATGTTCTTTTTAAAAGTCTGCTTATTTATATTATTCACAGTGTTTCTGGATTTCACAGCTGTCCTGCATAACTACTGGGTTCCATAGACATGGTCTACCACCTCCACTTCTAAATAACTGATTGTTTTAGAATACACTTTACATGCATTTTCAGGAAGGAGAAGATGCAGCACACGCAGATATTGTTCCCAGTTGAATTACTGTGTCAGAGAACTTAAATGAAGTGTAACTGAAATTGTCTCCTATTACTAAGGTATTGCTGAAATCCTAATGAACCGACCCCACGCGAGAAATTCATTGGGAAAAGTATTTGTAACTGAAGTGAGTATGGGCCTGGCCTGTGAACGTGTTTGGAATCATGATCAATAACTAAATGCAGTAAGAATAGTGGTGGGAAGTCTGAAACAAAAACATGATCTTTTGCTGAAGAGTGGGAGACTGCCTTGGGACAGGTTAGCCTGAAGAAAAAGAGGTTGTGGTATGTTTATACTGCACTAACTTCATATGTGGACTGGACAGAGATATTGGAGTTATTTTAGTTAGTTAACACAAGTTAATGGCCTTACTTGCGTAATTACAGGGGAGTTTAAGGTACAGGAAAGGTGCCTCTCTGAATGGAAGAGATGTAGATACATCTCATTCCGAGGCTGTCATGGAAGGATCCTCCTGGCTCCACAAACATGGTTTCCAGGAAACTCCTGGCCCCTGCAAGGGGAAAGAAAGAATTTTTATCATAGATTAGGAACTTGCTGTAATTTAGGTATGTAAATTCAGATGCTTAAAGGTCTGTCTTCTCTTGTTTGTACTCCCTCTCTCACAGCTGTTCAGTGCTCTGGAACAGCTCCGCTTTGATGAGAAGGTTCGTGTGGTGGTGTTCAAGAGTGAGGTGAAAGGTGTGTTTTGTGCTGGTAAGTGACAAAGGTTCTGCAAGCTTACAAATGGTGGTTACTCTTAGGGCTGTGTGCTGATCGGATCGTGCAGAAAAGCAGTTGGAAACTCATGCTAGAAGAACAGGCTGGCTTTTGTATAGCAAATAACAAAAACACATTGTTCTCTCTTTCTGCCTCTTGGCTTGCTTTGGTGATGAAGATGTGATGGAGTGAGCTGCATAAATAGTGCTGCTATTTGTTTTCCATTTATAACTGTCTTCAAGCACATGTGCCTTTGGTATTGGAGTCCTTGGTTTCCAGTTGTATGGATTATCATCGCTACATACAGTGATAGCTGCTCCTCTGAAATCTGTTCAAAGGGCACAGAGGAGCACCCTAGCCCCTGCTCCAGCCCAAACGGCCACACTCCAACCTCCACTGACATTACTTAACCAGAACACACTGCATTGTGACTCCTGAAATGGTCTGTGCTCCAAGAGGGACAGGAGGGAACACAGTTCAGATGTCTTTTCCCTGTTCTGGGATTCTAACCTTTTTATCCTCTATTTAGGTGCAGACTTAAAGGAACGTGCACAGATGGATGATGCAGAAGTTGGGCACTTTGTTAAAAGGCTGAGGAATCTCATGGATGAAATAGGTAAATAATTATCTTAGGAAATTTGTCCTTGACTGCCTGTACTGAGACATTTAGGAATGCTGCAGGATCAGAAGGATGCTAGCCCCAGCAGGTTGCCCATTTAGAAGTAGCTTCCCAAATGCCTCCAGCTTATGCAAGAAACAAAGATCACATTAGAACTAAATACCAATTATCCTGGTGCCACTCCAAACACAAGATGCATTTCAGTACTGCCTTATCCATGATGAAGAGCAGCACACACACATACGTATAGTATCTGCTACAACAGAGCATACTATATACAGTTCTCTATTTCTTGGGAGATGGTGCTGGATTAAATGAGCTCTGCTGGTTGTCCCATTTTCAGTACATGCTTAGAAGCACTCGTGATATGGCAGTGACCTAAGAATGTGGATTTAGGTCTCTGGATGACTTTGCTATGTGGATTTGTTTAATGTCAGAGGTTTTGTACCTATAACCATCCTCCCTCCCTCTTCTTTTTTTCCTCCCCTGAAAGGAGTATGGACTTCTGCAGTTGATTTTCTTCCCCTATTTCTGACTTGCTCTGACTTACCAAAGTGAAATCTGACTACACCACCAATCAGAATTGCATTGATTAAAAACCAAGCAACAATGTAGAGAGAATGACTGTCTTGCAGACCAGAGAAACAGGCGGGGGGGCAAGTGATAGTTACAGCACAGAACTAGCACATGTCTGAAGCCTCCTTCCAGCTCCCTGAATATTTTAAAAGGTATCTTATCAAGCAGCTCATCTCCAGACAGCTCAGATTCCTCAGCTGTGAGGTGGCAAATGTGTTTACCAAGTTCAGCAGCCTTGGCTAACGAAAGCAGCAGAAAGGCTAATCCTTGCAACAGTGACTAGGGATGGTGTCTTTGCTTTGACTGTTTAACTGCAACAGCTGGATATTCACACCATAAATCTGCAAGGAGACAATTCATCCTGGTTTGTGTTGCAGTACTTTGTATTTACAAGCTTCCTCACATGTAAGAAGAATGAAAACCATTCTTATAAAGAAGGGAGAAGTACAAAAAGACAGTTTCTACTGAGTTTCTACCACTTAGAGACAGTCAGAAACTGAATTCTTGAGCCATTTTGAATTTGAGAACTACTAAAAGCATTAGAATTTAAGCACTGAAATTCCAGAAGTGAGTGGAACAGAACTTCTGGAACAAACCTGTATAATCTGTGTTCTCTTCTCTAGCTGCCCTGCCTGTACCCACAATTGCTGCAATAGATGGCTACGCACTGGGTGGTGGACTAGAACTGGCGTTAGCTTGTGACCTTCGAGTAGCAGGTTTGCGTGTTGCTTAACATAGGAATCTTGTTGTAATTGGTGACTGTATTTTAAAGAGAACTTGTGATTTTAAAGAGAACATGTGATAGCTGACTGGTGATGGAATCCAGAGAGAAGAACTTGCACAGTTCAGGAAATGAACAGATGTTTGTCCCAAAACTGTGACTTTTAGTTACTAATGGGAAAGCAGTTTCCTTGCTTAAAAAAGTTAAAGCCTAGTTTTAGACAAGATTAGGATTCCTTCAGAGAACTATTTATTGGTAGTATAGTTATTATCATGTAATATTGCATCAGCAGTCTGGCTAGATCTAACCTTCCCTACTTAAATCAGTTTGGAGTGGAAGACTTGTTCTTCTGTTCCCATTCTTCCATCTGTTAGGTTTCATCTAGAATGGACCCAAGGTTCATCTTTCTAGATAAAATTGCTACATTGGGGGTAAGCAGCCAATACTACACATCCCTCATCTGACTCAAGATCATTTTTGATAAACACTGTAGTATTCAGACTTTCCAGCTACCTGGAGAAGTAGTTCCAGCTCAGTATTGACAGCTTGTAGTTTCATTAATCAGTTCACCAGGGAAAATTTGTAGTTATACAGATCAAGAAGTACCTAAACCTTAGACTTTTATCTTTTTTAACAGCTTCATCAGCTAAAATGGGCCTTATTGAGACCACAAGAGGGCTTCTTCCTGGAGCAGGTGATCATTAAATCTTCAGTCTCTTACTTTCTTAGCTGTGTAGTAAATATTTAGCCATTAGAGCACTTGAAGTGTTCTAATAAATAAGTGACTGTAAATTAGAAGCAGCATCTTATAGTGACCCAAGAAATGTATGAATAGAGTTCTCTTCCAAGCCCTGTCTCAGACTTGCTATGAATTTAGGAAAGTCCCTATACTTTTTCCTGTTTATTACAATACTCAGAGATGCTGAAGCCTTTCAGATGCCTTGCAAAATGTTGACATATTCAGCTGCCAGTTATTAAAGGAACACATGATCTCTTTATTTTATAAACCTTGTTATGTAAGAAGACCAAATACTGTTGTTTTGGGGTATTTCTCAGAAATGGATGAAGGTGTTTTTGCTGTTGTCATAAGGTGGAACCCAGCGCCTGCCCAGATGTGTCGGAATAGGTCTTGCAAAGGAACTTATTTTCACTGGCAGACAGGTTGATGGACAACAAGCTGCCTCAATGGGACTAGTAAATCATGCGGTGCCACAAAACAATGAAGGAGATGCAGCTTACCAGAGAGCATTGACTTTGGCTAAAGAAATCCTTCCTCAGGTCAGTGCATTAATACGTGTGGTCAGTGTAAAGGCACTTCTGGCTCCCTTAAGAGAGAGCAAGCAAATGAAATTCAGTTCTGTGAGACAAGAGTCTTGTTTCCTGCAGGTCTCTTAACTCTGTCCTTTTTGTGCATGCAGTTTCTGTAGGAACAAGCATTAACATCCAGCTGGTTAACCCACAGGACAGTTTTACCTCCCAGTTGTGGTTACACAGACCTGCAGGGCACACTGACACGTTGCACCATGTACATCTATTAATTGCAGATAATGCCAAACTGGTTCTTAAAATACTTATTAAATTACTGCATATTTCTATACACAAAAAGGTCATTTGGAGCTGTATCACATAGGATAACAATATAGCAACTATACTATGGTGAACTGATATGGGTTTAATTATTTTTAGATGTTCATTGTGCTTTGGTTGATTGCTTTTTGTTTTGTTTTTAATAAAGGCTCCATTTGCTGTGAAAATGGGAAAACTGGCAATAAACAGAGGAATGGAGGTAATTTTTTAACTGCTGAGGTAAATGAAGCAGATAGCTCTTCTGAAATTATTACACTAAAGGAGTTTAGAAGGATAAGTTGTAATCCATATTTAGACAACACATTTAATACTGTTTCAGAGGTTTTAAAGATTTCTCTTTAAAGACAAAATTAATACAGCAGGATTTTCCTTTTAACACTGTAGTTCCAATACAGGCGTGAAGGTCCTTCACTATGGGTGAATTGTTACTGATTTGAGGGTTATGAAGGAGTTTTGAGGGTGACACTTCAGACAAAACTCACTTCTTCTGTCTCATCCCCAGGTGGACATTGCATCAGGGATGGCTATCGAGGGGATGTGTTACGCCCAGGTAGGTTGGGTTACCTTCAGAATGCAGTCCTGAAAGGAACAAATGTGTATTTCCTAAAGCCAGCTAATCACAGCATCCTCTTCTATTTTCCCCTCTATAAGAGAACACTAACAGCTAAATCTAGAGCTTTGAGAACATACTTGAATGTAGTTCCAGATCTCTATTTTGGAATATTGTTGTGTCATGCATAGCTGCCTCCCTGCCTGCCTGAGACCACAGCCCTTCCTCAACTACCCTTCTGTCTCAAGTAACTGCATAGTCTCAGTTTCAACAATGTTAATTATAGGACGAGTCTT